AAAAAAAAAAAGAGAAAAGACGTTAGAAGTTGTTTGTTTGTGGAGCGAGGCAGTATTTTAGAAGCAGAAAAAGCTTTTTTTATCCTCAATAGAGTGCAAAATTGGTTTTGCTGAAAAGATATTAGCGTTTTTTTACAAAATGCTTTTTGAAGCAGGTACACATCGTGTTTGACGAAGGCTTTGTTGGAGAGGGTTTGGTTAATGCGTTGATCGCTATGATGGTGCCTTCTTTATATTGTGATTAGGTTTAAAAGCTGTATGCTGTATTTGTTTGTTGGTCGAATTATTTGTTTCTCTAAAGTTTAGAAGGAGAAGAATAAAAGGAAGGAGAATGAAAGGAGGGTGTTTTTATTTTTTTCTGGTCATCATTATCATCTTTATGTCTCAAAGTTTATCATATTTTTATTGTGTTCGTATTTTTAAGTGTACTTTGGCTGAGTAATATTATTTTGCACTCTTTTTGCTTAGCTTTTTAATAATTTTTTATTACCAGTTTCTTTTTAGGCTGTTCGACTAGGGTTTAGTGTTGTAAATATTTTTAGCAATTAGATTTAACAGAGGGATAGTCAGTTTTATGGACTTTTGCTGTTTGCAGCTGGGAAGGGAATTATTGGATAGTTTCATCAAAATCCATTTTCAATATCAGAATTGAATTCTTCATAAACTCTTTGGTCAGCAACAGTTTTTGTTTCTGTTAATCAACTGTCCCAGGCACTTAGGGAGTTGAAAAATTTTTTTCATGCCGAAAATTAAGCATTTTTTTATTTAGAAACTTTTTTGCTTTTATAGTATTTTTTGAAATTTAATTTTTTTTTAGCTTTTATCTTTATTTATAAGATAATGAATGAGCTTACTTATAATATGATTTCAGAGTAGGTTTGTTTTGTTTGCAATGTTTACCTTTTGTTGATCAGTCAGTCAACATATGAATCAAGTTTCAGAGTTTTTATAAATAATTGAATAATTTTTTGATCAGGAAGCTTAAGTTGTTCAGTCGGGTGCTGAGTGTTACGTTGTTAAAGTTCAAGAGTGAAAAGAAGAAGGCAGTTTAATACGGTGTTGTAGTCAATTAAATGTCATTATCTGTGTTGGCCACAGATACTGAAGTACTTTAGTGGTATGGAGTCGT